GTTTAAATGTACCAGAATGCTGCTACACTTTGTTTCCTGAAAACTACCCAGTAAATTAAAACAAGACTTCTACAAGTTATCCAGAGGAGGAAAGGACACAAAAACGATTTACCCAGGGTTATACATGGGGGCTTCAAAAGGGGCGTAGAAAATGTCATCTCTCCTCTTAAAAGCAAAAGCGAGCTTAAGAATCCCTGTATCGATTAACCTCTGATTAGTAATTTTTCTACTACCCTATCAAAACTATAAACAAGCTGAGGAGAAGGTTTTGAAAAGGATAGGATAAATGTTCCAGGTACTTATAAAGGGAAGCTTAATGAAGTTGCATGGATAAAAACTCCCACCCTACATTGCAGAATATATACAAATACATACCTGTGGTTTCATCCGTGGATTCCACCTTATGTAATATCCCACCCAGAGCTCTAGGTGGCGCATGCTGGCTACTGGATAGAGGACATGATTGGAATAGCTCCCATAGAGAGGATTAGTGAAGTCTTCCTGCTGGCTATTTATGTAAGACCACAGTGACACAGTCCTTTTGAGAAGATTCTGTGAAAAAACAAAAAGGTAGAAATTGTCTACAGAATAAGCTATTTATCCTTTGGAAACCTGATATTATACATAAAGCTTAAAAGAAGTATTTCGTCATTAGCAGGAAGGAACTTGGGCACTTCCAGAGCAAACTCGAACCAAACTCACTCCCTTAAAGGCCCTAGAGGGCAGGGTACAACTGCCCCTGTGGATTTTGAGACTACATCTTCATGGGTGTAGAAAGCCTTTCTTTCTCCTTGGAGTGGCTGGTGGTTTTGAACTGCTGACCTTCTGGTTAGCAGCCCAATGTGTAACCCACTACACTACCACGGCTCCTTTAGTGATTGTTGTTAGATGCTCTGACTCATAGTGAGCCTATGTACAACAGAATGAAACCCTGCCCAGTCCAGAGCCATCCTCACAAGTTTGAGCCTATTGTAGCCATTGCGTCAATCCATTGTGTTGAGGGGCGCCTGCTCTTTCCCTGCCTCTTTACTAAGCATGATGTCTTCCTGCAGGGGCTGGTCTCCAGATGGACATGAGATGAAGTCTTACCATCCTTGCCTCTAAGGAGAAATCTGGCTGTACTTCTTCCAAAATAGATTTGTTAGTTCTTTTGGCAGTCAATACTCTTCACATGCATCTGAGGCAATTGAAAATGCCACAGCTTGGGTCAGGGGAACCTTAGTCCCCAAGTAACATCTTTACTTTTCTGTGCAGCAGGTTTACCCAATGCAATGTGTCTTGATCTGTTGACTGCTGCTTCCATAAGCACTGATTGTGAATCCATGTGAGACAAAATCCTTGACTTCAGCCTTTTCTCCATTTATCATGTTATCACCTTTGGACCAGCTGTGGGAATTCTGATCTTCTTTACACTGAGTTGTAATCTCTACTGATTTTGGTATTCTTTACACTGAGTTTTAAGTCATATTGTCATCCTCGAGCTCATGTTTCAAGTAAGACTGTGTCATCTGCGGGTCGCAGGTGTTAATAAGCCGCCTTCCTATCGGCCAGTAAGTATGGTGAGAGGATGCAACCCTGATGCACACCATTCCTCATGTTAAACTATGCAGGATTCCCTTGTTCTGTGGACAAGCTTCTCACAATCACAAGGAAGTGTTCTGGAACTCCATTCTTCTCAAAGCTATCCACAGTTTGTTATGGTCCACACAGTCAAATGTCTGCATAGTCAATAAAACATAAGCATCTTTCTGATATGATCTTGCTTTCAGCCAAGATCTGACATCAGCAGTGATATCCCTTGTTC